AGGAGTCTCTAGAGGGGCCAGGTAGGAAGTAGGGTTTCTGGCTGTTAAGAAGCAGGAAACTGGAAGTTGTGACCAAGGGGATGTGGACAGGAAGTGTGAGACTTTCCACCTGCTGTGGTGTGGGTAGGACAGTAGGAGGGACCTCACTGTTCTTGGGGGATGTTAGTGAAGGAATAGGAGCTTCAATCCCTGAGCAAAGAACACTAAGGATGGGGATAGTTCTGTCTAGTGCTCTAAAGATTCAAGATCTTCAACTGGCAGGCTGACATGCCTGTTCTCCATGTCTAGGGGTGAGAAATTGCTCACTACTACAGTAACTGGGGCGGGCAGAAGCAAATCTCTTGTGAATAGGACTCTCCCTGATATTGGGAGCAGACAAGTCCATAATACAGAGAACAGCTCACTGTCAGGGCACTTCAAAAGCATGCAGAGTGGAATCCTTGCCATCATGCATATGGCTGGGCAGAGCCCCAGACTAGATGCAGGAGAAGGGATAGCTGAGAGTACCAAACATGCACAACAGTTTGAATTCCCCTTGAGTTACTAGAATAGGCATCTGTGGGGCGCAGGAGGCCGTGTGTTACTGAACTCTGCGTTACTTTCATGAAATCTCTCTGCTGCTGCTGTGAACTTAGAGTCAACTATTTTGCACAATAGGCTTGAATGCCAAGATTCCGCTACAGGTTTGAAGTCTCTTTGAAGACTCGTCAAGGAAAAAGACGAAATTCCTCAGGTACAATACAAAACCAAAACCATGTAGTTCAAAGAAACCTTTGCAGGACCCCATCCTGGAATCTGACCTGTCAGGAGTCACAGACACCCACTAAGAGTGCTAGTGAAGTCAGCTGCGATCTGCCCACATTTATCAGATTGTAGGATTGGGGCTTTAGACTGTAAGCCCTTTAGGGCAGAGATTCTGTCCACCTTTGTTTGTACAGTGCCTGGCACAATGGGGCCCTGATCACAACTGAGATCTCTGGGGGCTATTGAAATTTAAATATTAAGTGTTGAAAGTAGAACAGACTAAGGTGGCACTGCATGATGATCAATGTATTGCCCTTCTAAGATTACTGGTCAATATTCAAATATCATGGTACTGCCAGTCTACTCTATAATTACAATAAAGGAATATTTGTATAGTAATTATTTTCCATACAATGTACTACTATCTGTGTGTCTCTTATCCCCCTACTAATCAGAATGTCAGTCTTAGTCAAATGTCTGTGAGACTATATTGTTCTCTAGGGCTCATTTCCAGAAGATACAAGCCCTAATAGTACTCCAGCCAACAGAGACTCTCATTTACCTTAAGTGACAGAGGTTTGTGCTTTGGGATCATAAAATCCTTGATGACTGGGAGGACTGTGCAGTCATGAGGTGTAGAATAGCTGACAAGCATGAAGTCCCATGCAGCCATAGAATCATTACAAACAATGTGGAAGTCTAATTCCTGAATAGGGAAAAATGGATAATAATTGATCAATATCTATAGACTTTTAGAGCTTTGGGTTAACCCTCTTAAAACAATTCAGTTTCAGAAGCTGACAGTACCACTATATTACAGACTATTTAGTGTGAATGAGAGTGTGACATTAAGCTCCCCTGTATTCATACCCAACACACTATTATAATAATCTCTGTACAAAATATGCCTTGTGAGGTATCATTTGAAAACGAATAACTTGCTGATCATGAATATTCTTGTAAATATATGTACACAGTGAGTATTAAGAGTTATGAATATACGCTGGAATTATGACTTATTAAAGTGTGTTTAAACCAGGCATGCCAGGGGGAGTAGGTAAATAGGTCTGCCTTAGACAAAGGAATGCATATTTGATTCTCTGACCAGCCCAGTCTTCAGGCAAAGCCAATGAAGGTCCATTTTTATGTATTAGGTAAACAAAGCTATTTAGCTTAAAAAGTGGAGGAAGGAAGAACATGGAGCTTCCTTCACCACCAACTCCATGTTGCCTTCCTCACAGCTTGAATAAACTTTCCTTTGAGGGGTAACTCTGGGAAGAATCCATTTCAAAGGTTTACTGCTCTATAAAGACAGGTGTGGGGGGCTTAAGTGATAAGCAATTGAATCAACTGACTGTGTCCAATATTACTGTATTATAAAAATGTATCGAGAGATCTTTTCTGAAAGCTAACACAACACTGGTGATTAATATTGTGAAATGTATGTATTAACACTATATGAGGAAATATGGATACTTATAATATTTAAGCTTTAAAGTCTGTGGCCAAACAGGGAAAAACAGGTTCCCCCCAAGACAGGAGAGAAGGCAATTATTTACCGTCTCCAATGTAAATTAAGGATGGTGGAATCAAAACAATGGGACCCCATTTACATACAGGGGGATGGGAAGCCCATAGGGAGGGAAGAGTAACCTGAGGTCATCCTCCCTCTTGAAACATTGGAAGATATATGCAAAGACAGAAGCCATCTTTGGTGTCCATCACTAGACAGACACATGGGAACAGAGCTCTTGCAAGCTGAGGAAGATGCATCTTGCAATCCAGGGTGGGGGTGGGAGGTTGAAGTCTCTGGAGACTGAATATAGGTGACAAACCTGCTTAGGCAAAGATTTTTCAACTAGGAAGACAAACAAAGCCAGCATCTTATATTTCTTTGTAAGGTCCTGACTGAGGGAAAGTCAGTCAAGGCTGGGAAGAAGAAAGATTGGGGGCGGGAGGGGGGAGTGATAAAAATCATCTTGAGCAAAACCTATACCTTGCCAGATTAAATTTTAGACTTTTAGATGTGTTTTCACTTTTATTTGCTTGTAACTATTTCTAACTTTATTTCTTGTACTTGAACTTACTTAAAATCCTCTTCTTTTGTTCATCAACTCATTTCACTATTAATCCAAATCAGCAATGCTGTGTTTGAATTAAAGTGAATGTTAACTCCAATTAATTTAGCAAGTGGTTTGGGATTGTCTCTTTAAAGGAAAAAGTGGACTCTATTATTCTTCTGAATGTTGCAGGAGAGGGCTGAACATTTCAGAGCAGATGGCTTTGGGGAAGTTTGGGACTGGAGGTCTGTTGGGGTCATCTGCTAATCTTAACCAAGTCTGGGAAAGACAAAAGTGTGGCTGTGATAACTGCTGGCTGGCTGTTGGATTCAAAGTGGTTGAGTCACAGCTGTATATCGCACAAAGCATATGCTGGCTGCATGCATGTGTCCCAGGCTGGGAGCCAAAAGTAGCAGAAGCATTTTGGGGAATTCAGGGTTATAATATAAACAGTGACACAATCTCTCACCGGTCTGAACTGCACCCCCGAGCATGACAGGGAGAGAAAAAGAAAAGGGATATCTTGATGCACAGTAAGGGACACTTGGTAACCTTGATACACAGGGATTTGGGATTAGGTTCTTGTAGCCCATGTGATTAAGGGAGAGAGGTGCTGGTGAACCCCCATGCTTCACCCTATCATCATCTTTATATGTCTCCAATTTGCATTAATAGGGATTAGACACATACATCCTTGTACCTCAAGATTAGGCTATTGTTTGAGACAAGTGATATTAGCCAGACAAGCTCTCAGATCTGTTACAATTACAAAATAAGGTGTGATCAACCATGTTAGAGATTAGGGCTGACATTTTCATAGAAGTCTATAGAAGTTAAGTGTCCAGCTCCTATTGCATTTCAACAGAATTTGGGTACCTCCCTTAGGGTCCTTTCAAAATCATAGCTTAGATTTTTCTTTAAACCCAAGATGTTCCAATTTTGTCACTGGAATTCATGCTGGGTGACAAGAGCCCTTTAAAAGTGACCCTGCAAGTGTAACTACTTTGTAAACCATGAATTAGAACACTGAACTTATTTACAGCTGGTGAGTCAAATTAGGACAGCAGTAAAAAGGTTAGAACAATGACATTTAATGTTACTCCACTTTTTTTCCTACCACAACAATGTGTATTTTCATATACATTATATTTAATAAAATGTACTGATATGGAAATAGGAAGCCATGGGTTTAGTTCTATTTACAGATTTTAATTGAAACATTTTTCTTAACAACATTGAAAAATAGAAACTTAAAGTTCTTTTAATTGTGTTTTCAGCCAGTTAGTGGTAAACAAATGCATGCCTTGAAGTTAAACTTCCTCTAAAACTTGGTCAGTTGACAGTTTCTAACTAAAGTGTGTATCTCTGTTTTGTTCAAAAAATACATACGAATGTCTGTCATTTCTGATACAAAATTCTACACTATCGTCAATAAATAAATAATAAAGAGATTTTTAAAAGTATGAAATGTAAACTTTGTTGTCCTTCCAACATACAGGATTTTGTTTTTCAATTTCTTGAAACATTACAGTGGTCTTGAAGGAAATTATAACACACAGACATTTCCCAGCACAGTTTACACTTACTACCATACTGTATCTAGCTATCCATTATGAAGATATCCTAATTTCCTAATGGAAATCATGACGACTTTTAGTGCTCTCCTGAGAACACCGTCTATACAGGAAAGGTGGGAACTAGTACCAAAACGACATGCAAAGAACATCAAAACCTACCAACAAGCTCCACAAGAACATTAACATGCCAATGAAGGGGTTGACACCTCATTCTGAAATAAAGTCATTACAAAAATACCAGTTTATGCATGATACCTAGGTAATGAACAAAAGGACTCTAAGCAGAACAATGATGGACTTTACTCTCTTATGGGGCTCTATTGTCCTTGGAGGTCCCAACTCAGAAAAGCAATTGAGCATATGCTTAAAGTAAATGGGACTTAAGCACATATGTAAAGTTAGGTTCTTTGCTGAACAGGGAAGGTTTGCTGAATCAGGGCCTATATATGTGTGGGGAGTTACGTGTGTCAATCTCTGCCCTGCCCCCAAGATGACAACAAGACCCCTTTTACTTTGGGGTTACTCTGCACAATCACAAACAAAGATTTTTTTTTTTTTTTGGTCACATCTAATATAGCCAACAAACTTGGAATGAACCTGGTTTGCAATGAACGCCTTTTGTGAGCTACAGTACGCTACTGTCCTGATTTCAAAACCAAGATGTCAAATATGTTTAGGCACAGTACAATTTAATAACCAGTCACCACTGATTGCTTTGCAATCTAGACTCTACAGGGTAGAAATTAGCTTCCTGAGCTAGAGCAGTGATTTCTTGTCATAGCTGGTGACTTGATCATCCATCAGCTTTCATACAATTAAGCAGCAGTAGTAAAGAAGTGGTACAGTACAACATTCTATCTCCTTCACTTATTGTTTAAACATTTACAAACCTCCAGGAAATGATGGTACTCTGTTAGGGTGAAATTCACTGCTGTGGAGAGCGCCAGCACAAGGCCTGTGCATTGTTTAAGTTTCTTTTAAACCTTATTTTGAGAGTGCAATAATGGTACCTTCTGTGTTAATATATTTAAAAACAACAACATTTCAAATACCACCATAACAATCCTAAAGAAAATCAGAGATCTTCTTACCTGGTAAGTGTTCATTCATGTCATGTTTATACACCACTTTGTGGGGCAATAGGCACAAAATTCCTATGGGGAAGTTTACAGAAAGCCTTCAAACATACAATCAGTGCCCTCTTCATTTAAATAAACATTACAGTAACTGGAGTAAGTGCAACAACCTACATGGTTTGTTCACCTTTCAGCTTGGAGCACAAGTTACGACTATGTTACTTCAGAAACCCTGAAAACTATAATGAAGTTCCACACAGAGACAGAGATCTGCTCCCAAAACTGGGATTCAATTTTCAGCAAGGATTATCAAGGCACATAGATTTTCCTGTTTGCTTTGATAACCCCCTTGCACATGAAGAACAAGCAGTAGTTTCATATAAAAGGAATAAGGATTTCTAGACAGCTTCTGCAGACACCTATTGCAGTGAACTCAGATTAAAGTGAAACATTGGTGCATTTTCCTCTAAGGTTCATCGAACAATTGCAGATCTAGTCGGACTACGATCTCTCCTGTTGGGACTTCGTGCAGGAGGAGACACTTTGTAACTGGTCCCTTTGAGCCCTGATCCTTCTTAATGTCTGCCACACGGATTTCAGTTCGGCCCAAAAAGTCTGAAACATAAAAATCAGCATATTCAGAGTGAAATACATTTTCACTTTATTTTCTGACAACATATTACTTCAAAGAAGGCACTAGCTTCCATCTGCATTGGGAATATAAGGAGAAAATATGCCCTCTTTCAACAATAGTTTTATGGCTAATATAGGTAAAGCCTTAAAATCTCTTGAATCTAAAACTGGCTTTTCTAATTTGCTTTTATATTCCATCTACCTTTTTTTTAATGAATACATTTTAATCAAAAACATCAGGTAAAAGTACAAGAAACAAAAGGGATATTCAATTAAATTAAAAGGTGACAAATTCAAAGCTGACAAGTGAATATTTTTTCACACAATGCATAATTAGACTGTAGAAGTCATTGCCACAGGAATCCATTGAGGCCAAGAATTTAGCAAGTTTTTAAAATATTGGACATCTGTATTGATATAAAGAATATCTAGCATTATCATGGTTAATGATGATAAACATTTTGGAAGGGATATTAAACCTTGTGCTTCCAAGCTTAAGCCTATTTCTAACTACTAGTGATCAGGATGAGATCTAATATTGGGGGGTAGATTACCCCACATGTGCCTACTGTGGGTTTCTTATACCTTCCTCTGAAGCATATGGTACTGGGCATTGTCAAGACAGGATACAGGACTAGATGGACCACAGGTCTGATCCAGTCTGGCAATGCCTGCATTCTTATATTACAATCCAAAAATCATACGTGCCAAACAAAACACCAAAAATGTTAAACCATTGGACTGGATCATCCATATCATTCATGGGATCAGTAATTACAAGTATGTAACCCTTAAATCACAAAAAAAAAAAAAATGAAGGCAACAGTTGTGAAAGGGGAGAACAGATCATCCAAGTGAAATATTATTTTAGGGTGAAATCCACCTCAGTTCAGTGAAATGGGGCCAGCACCAGGACAATGCACCACTTAAGGATATGTCTACACTACAGCGGCACAGCTACAGCATTGCAGCTGTGCCACTGTAACGCTGTAGCTTTAAACATGCCCTTAGGTAGGCATACACATGCTAGCTTTTGTCTAGCTAGCACAGCAAAACTCAGCAGTGAAGACACAGCAGCCCGGACCCCAGTACAGGTTAAGACTGCGAGTGTGTATCCCAGTGTTCCAGGCAGGCTTGTTCAGTCTGTGCTGAAGCCCATGGTGCCGTGTCTTCACTGCTATTTTTAGCTGTGCTGTGCTAGCCAGATTAAAGCTGGTCCGGGTACTTGTACCCAACCTGCAATCACAGCTTTAACTGCACTGGAGACATACCCGAAGAGGCAAGTCAGAGCTATAAACTGAGTGCTTCTATGCTGTTAAATGTTTACGTCAGCACCCATGTAACGCCTAATAAATGGAAAGGTGGGGAGAAGGGAAAATATCACCAGAAGTGTAGCAGCTTCATACTTACCGTCTGGGGAGAACTGATCCCTCTCAAACACGGTTATGCAGAGTACATCCTGCTCCAGATCTTTGATAAAGAATTGGCAGTTAGAGTTCCATTTAGGGTTGAGAGTGTCCTGCATAGTCTTGGTGATGTGACACTGAGAGCCCATTGTCACCTCACAGTATGGGTTACTCTTTCCTGAAAGGAATAAAGCAGATGCAGGGGTGTGATCACATTTTGATGGGCATGGATTTAACATCCTTCTAAATACCCTCTACCTTCCATTACCATCTAATTAGGAAAAGGCTGCTGGGCTGCCACTACTTTAACAAACAAAGAACATCTCTGGGGGCCCGTCCTGAGATGCATAGCCCTGGGGGCCCATCCAGAGCACCCTCAGCTCCTTGTGATTTCAGCACCTTGCGGGATCGAGTCTTGTGTGAGTGACACTAAGAAAGCTTGTAAAAAAATACTTAAATACATGACAACTGCCCAAGTTTTGCTGTCCTGCAAGTAACTGTTTCTATGAATATGAGGTTCATTAAAACCGCTTCATTTCACAAAAATCTACATTTTGGGCCTATATTTTCTTTAGCATTAGACAGACAGGAACATCCAGGGGAAGCGTCCTTTATAACACACGCTAGGAAAATCAGTAAGGTCCTTACCATGTGACCTGCAAGGTTTTAGTTCAATGCCTTCGACAATGTTCACCATCAACCTTCCAATGCCTGTTGCCCTTTGGGAGCGAACTGTGGAGGGATGCGGGGGGAGGCGGGAAGAGGAATGACAAAATTCATTAGTATGCACCTGGCTTTTAACACTTCCATGAAAGACTACAGGCATCGAATCCCACACTGTACCTAAGTAGGCCTTTTCCCTCTTCTTCTTCTCAGTCTCTATGTAAAGTTCAGAAGCAGCTTTAATTTTCTGAACCCAGGCAGTCCTTTGAAAGGAAAAGACAAAAAGTTACCCCACAGCATTATGATTACTATTTTATTTCTCTTTAGCACTACACAGCATACAAAACTAAAGACAGTCCCTGCTCCAGAGCCCTCACAACCTACAGGTCTGGGCCTATACTGGTATCTGCTAGATTGGAGCCCTGCACCTGTCAGTCAATGCGACTCTGCAGAGGTGTAAAGGTCTATACGTAAGAAGGCCTAAGAGGCAGAATCACAATGGCCAGGACCCAGTGGGAAATCAAGAGTTGGGGATAACTGTTCCCTCCCATTCCTCCTGCATTGCTACAATAAACTAACTGGGCATTACAAAATCTCTGGGGGCCAGAGGCTCAGCTAGTGTAAATCAGTGTAGCTCTACTGACTTCACTGGTGCTTCGCTGTGTTATGTCAGCTGAAAAACTGGCCTGTGCAGTTTTTAGAAGTGATGTTAAAGAGGAGACGATGGTGGCTTTGTAAACCAGGACGGGGAGGTCATTTCACTCATAGGGACTTAGCCTGGAAAAATGCACAGAGAAAAGAGTGGGAAGAAAGAAACAGAGAGAGCATCAAGGCTGGTGTTACGGGCAGAGTTCAGGAGCAGTACCATGATATCTAAGAAAGTCTGTGGTGTAGGCAAATGGGGGCTCCAGATATGTATCAAGTGTAGAATTTAGCCTTAGGTTTTGCAGTTCTAAATATTTACAAGCAAAAATTAAATTGTTGGCCAAATTCATCATTTACTGATGCTAATGCAGTATTTCAGTTGCTGTTAATAAAAACCCAAACCTCTAGGTGTCAGTGATCTTAAGTGTTAAAATGTTGCTTTCTGCATCATCTGCACAGTGCAAAATCACTCAACTGGTAGTACCATTCAAATTTGGTAGAAAATATATTCAGAGTGCTGAGATATTGGCTGGCTGCACTAACCACTCCAATACAGAATATGCAACTGTTGTGATGGATCACTATGTGAAACATGGGGCCTGATCCCCAACTAGTGTAAACTCGTGTTGTTCTATTAAAGTCAACACAGCTAGGTCAATTTTCATCCGCTGAGGATCTGTCCCACTCTGTTAATTTACTCTATGGTATGGAAATGGGGATACAGAAAACACCTAAGAGAACTACTGTGATCCTGCCGTGGTATGGACTTTTACGAACAATTTTTAAGCCTAGAAATCACAATTCTATATCATGTCATTCCTGTTTGTTCTCCCTCCTAGGAGGTCCCCCTCTGAGTTCCAGGAATCCCTCGTTTGCCTCCCCTTTCTATCCCACTCCCCCTTCCTGCAGAGGTCCTGTTCTGTGGCAACAGAGAAGGGATGTGTCTTGCTCCTCTGGAGTCCCGCTCACTGCAACTCCATGCATTCACCAGAGCTGGTTGCTAGAGAGTGAGGTCAGGTATCCACTCCTTCCAGGGCCTGAGGGTGACAGCTCCACAACACCCTCTGCTTGAGCCGCAGGGGAGCAAGGGATGTTTTACCCAGGTTTATATGCATTAAAATCTTTACAAATGATGCCTTTACAAGCAAGGATCATACTGAGCCTGTACTGAGGGCCACACCACACCGCCTCTTCTCTTATTGCCCCATCAGCTTCTGCAGGACTGAGGCTTTCACTTTTTAACAAAAGTTACTTTTCTAGTCCTTATGTTTTGTGACCTGATGCAGTGGTGTCTTCTCGAGTTTGCAGACAGACAGACTGAAACAAAAGTATCAGGAGAGGTGGAACCGCCCTTACTTGTCTCACTTTATTTGCTAACTCTGGAACGGAATGACATCAAATTTAGTTTTCCCTTTGTTAACCATTTCCCTAGTGGTCTGGGTCAAGTTAGAGAAGGGTATATCACTTTTTAATTTGATTCCCATTTTCAAATAATTATAATTACCACAGCATTCACCATACTAAGTACAGGGAATACTACACACACCTGGGTAATGTTACCTACTTGCAAAGACATTTATAAAGATCAGGGCCAGCTCCAGGCACCAGCCGAGCAAGCTCGTGCTTGGGGCGGCAGATTCTAAGGGGCGGCATTCCGCCCAATCCTTTTTTTTGCTTCACTATTCTGGCCGCCCTGTAGGGGGTGGTGGCACGGGGGAGGGGAGTGCGCTCCGTCTCCCCCAGCCGGTGCCGGGACTGCAGCAAGCCCGGCAGGGCAGCCCGCGTCCTTCCCTGCCCACTGACCGGAGCGGCGCGGAGCCCTCCCGGCAGGCGGCACAGTGGGAGGGGCCACGTGGCGAGCACCCTGCTGAAGGAAGCCCTGGTCACCCCCCTTCTCTCTCTCCCCCCGCTCCCTCCCGCTAGCCGGGGCACGCACTCCGCTGCCCAGGGCATGTCTGCAGCACAGGGAGTCCCCCTGCAACCTGGCTCCAGCCGCCCCGCACGGTTTTTTTTTTTTTTCGCCGCCCCGCCCGCCCCGCAGGTTTTTTTTTTGCTTGGGGCGGCAAAAAAGCCAGAGCCGGCCCTGATAAAGATTTGCATGGTGATTGTCATGCGTGCATGCACATGAACATATACATCAAAATCTTTAGAGTCAGCAGTGAGGAGGCTGCAGTGACTTACCTTTCATTTATGCTTTCTGCACGAAGCGTGTAGACTCTATCAATGTGGGAGATATGGAAGATGGGCTCATCTCCAGAAGGGTCTGTGGGTAATTTTACTAGTACCTCATTTAGAAAAATGGGCTGTGAAATATTAGGCAAAGCTAGAGTAATACAGCACTATATCTGAACATACTGGAATGCTCAACGCAATACAGACTGTTTTTGTTTGTGCCCAGAATATCCCCTCTCGCCTCCCGCTTTTTAAACTCCCTTCTTCAAAGGGCTTGTGTCTCATTCACCCTTTCTCTTGCCAAAGACAGCTCCCTCCAGATCCTGTGAATGCTTCTACTTGAGTCAGAGAGTCACAGCGTGTTTCAAAGTTCTCCCTTCCCACAAGCAGCACACTGCCCTCTGCATCACTTCCCTCTTTCTGTAGCTGGGATACTTGAAGTCAGCTAATAGGATGCTCAAAAGCGCCTTCCTTTATACAGATCAAGCTTACAACCTGTCCAGCACGAGCACCACAGGACTGGAGTCCCAAGTGTACTTGACAGCCTCTCTTTCTTATACAGCAACAGACAGTGCCATTGCCCACCCCTCCAAGTGGGGAACTGCCACCTTCCTGAACTGTTAAAACACCAATAGCTTGGCTACCATAAAAGCGGTACTTACAGTTTTATACATTTTATACTGCAGATTAGACTTGGGGCTGAAGACCTTGTCTGTACCAGAGGAACCAAGAGGCTTTATGATCTGAGTCAGCAGGAGGAAATCATTGAACAGAAAACCATACAGTTCCTTGTTGCTCTTGGCTTTGTAGAGTTTTCCACTGTGCAGAAACTTGCGTGGTCCCAAGCAGTTTGTAACAGAATTAAAGACGAGTTGCTGAGAAAAGAAGAAGAACAACAATGCAATGTACAAAATCAAACCATCGAGGCTCCCCTGGAAGACATCAAAAACAGGTTTGAGTTCTGACATTTGCTTCAGCTCATTTCAAAGGGATGATGGGTAATGCCTCAGTCTCACAGTACGAGCAGCACAAGGCATAGAAAGGTGATAGAAAAATAACTATTAATTTGAGGATAGGTCCATTAATGGCTACTAGCCAGGATGGGCAGGGATGGTGTCCCTAGCCTCTGTTTGCCAGAAGCTGGGAATGGGTGACAGGGGATGGATCACTTGATGATTACCTGTTCTGTTCATGCCCTCTGGGGCACCTGGCATTGGCCACTGTAGGAAGACAGGATACTGGGCTAGATGGACCTTTGATCTGACCCAGTATGGCCATTCTTATGTTGATCTGGGGCTCTTCAGTATGACTGGGCCAGCACATGATGAGGGCAAGGAAGACAAAAGCACTTGGGCCTCTTTTTGATCTTTCCTGCTGCATACTGGTATCACTGTGGGGGAGGCAACAAAGCTGATGGCTCTTCCCTGATTGGTGGTTGTCACGCGCATGGAGTCAATGGGCCTCCCTATTGGCTGATCCATCTCCACAGCGGCTGTAAGAGTTAGCATGTGTGTGTGTTGGGGTGGGGGGCATATAGTCTTGCTCCTGTGTTTGGATTTCACTCTCTAGTTCATACCCAGGGGCTTCTGGATAATCATGGTGCTGCTTCTTTTTGTGCTCGTGACGCTTGGTTTAGCAGGTTATCTGCTAGTCAGTGGCTATGGGGAGGAGTTTGGATTAATTGCACATTATCCACTAGCTCTTATAAAAAACAGTTACTCACCTTCTCATAAGTGTCGTTCTTCGAGATGTGTTGCTCATGTCCATTCCAATTAGGTGTGCGCGTGCACGGTCGTCGGAAAGTTTTCCCTTAGCAGCTCCTGTCAGGTCGGCTGTGGAGCCTCCTGGAGTGGAGCCTTCATGGCACTCAATATATGACCCTGCTGACCTGACCCCCCTTCAGTTCCTTCTTGCCGGCTACTCCGAAAGAGGGGAAGGCGGGTGGGTTTGGAATAGACATGAGCAACACATCTCGGAGAACAACAGTTACGAGAAGGTGAGTAACCGTTTTTTCTTCTTCGAGTGATTGCTCATATCAATTCCAGTTAGGTGACTCCAAAGTTCCTCCCCGGAGGCGGGGTCGGAGTTAAGGAATAGCTGATTGGAGCACCACTCTGCCAAAAGCCGCATCATCTCTGCCATGCGGGATGATGGCATAATGGGAGGTGAACATATGCACTGAGGACCAAGTTGCTGCCCTGCAGATTTCTTGAATCGGGGCCTGGGCCAGGAACACTGCTGGTGAGGCTTGTGCCCTCGTAGGAATGTGCCTTAAGAGTGGAGCTGGGACCTTGGCCAGCTCGTAACAAGTGTGGATGCAGGCTGTAATCCAGGAAGATATTCTTTGAGATGAGACCGGGAGACCTTTCATCCGGTCTGCCACCGCTACGAACAGCTGGTTTGACTTCCTGAATGGCTTTGTGTGCTCAATGTAGAATGCTAGCACCCGCCGAACATCCAATGAGTGTAGCCTCTGCTGTTGGGTACTCTTGTGAGGCTTAGGATAAAAGATGTGTAGAAAAATGTCTTGCCTAGTAAGGAATTGTGACATTACCTTAGGAAGAAAGGCTGGATGAGGTCTTAGTTGCACCTTGTCCTTGTGGAAGACTGTGTATGGAGGATCAGAGGTAAGGGCCTTTAACTCCAACACCCTCCTAGCTCATATGATGGCCACCAGGAAAGCTATCTTCCACGACAAATAGAGAAGGGAGCAAGTTGCCAACGGTTCGAATGGGGTCCCCATTAGTCTGGAGAGTACCAGGTTAAGGTCCCATGCAGGAACAGGCTGTCTAACCTGTGGATGTAGCCGTTCCAGACCCTTAAAGAAACATCCTACCATAGGATTAGCAAATAGAGAACGCCCAGACACTCCTGGATGGAAGGCCAAGATGGCCACAAGGTGTACCTTGATGGATGACATTGCCAGGCCTTGTTGGCTGAGGTGCAGAAGATCCTCCAGGGTGAGTGGTATAGATGCCTGGAGTGGAGGTGTGTGTTGCTGGGCACACCAGCAAGTGAACCTCTTCCACTTGGGTAGATAAGTGGCCCTGATGGATAGTTTCCTGCTGCCGAGTAGACCCTCCGAGCACAGGAGCTCCATGGGGTTTAACCATGAAGCTTCTAGCCATAAGATGGAGGGACTGGAGGTCAGGTTGGTGAAGGCAACCATGATCCTGAGTGATCAGTGTGATGGTACCTCCCATAAGGCTTTATGGGAATGTGACATAACTGGAATATGTTTTGTGCTGCCTGTGCCGTGTAACATATCTCTGTACAGGTTATGGTCTACTATATCTATTCATCCTATTTGTACACATATCATTTTGTACTTGAGGTTAAGCATATTGACTGTATACTTGTTTGATTTCTAAGTAAGCTTTGTGAGGCATTTGGTCAGCTTCTTTAGGAAGGAATTTGCAAGGTTAAGTACCTGATCAGGAAGCACTTGGGGAACTATGCATCTTGGAATGCTCCAATCCACATAAGAAGTCTTCCTGGAGACATACAAGATACCATGTGGACAATGGCTTCTGCCTGTAAAGACTGAGAGTCATGCATGGACATGTGACTTGCCCAGGTGACTCCTAAACTCCATCTTGGAGCTGGACCTTGCATAGGGGTGAGGAGGGGGGTCTCCACCCACAAGAGAAAGTCTATTTAAACCCGTGGGAGACCCCTCCATTCTGTCTTCAGCTGGCTAAAGAGAGAGAGCCCCCCGCCCCCAAGATACCGGAAAGAAACTGGAACAAAGGACACTGTGCAGGGAGGGTGAGTGATTGCTGGACCCAGGCTAAAAGAAGATTAGTCTGTAAAAGGGAGCATTCTGGAACTGGTGAGGATCTTATCTGTATTCAGTTTGATTAGACATAGATTTGCGCATTTTATTTTATTTTGCTTGGTGACTTACTTTGTTCTGTCTGTTACTACTTGGAACCACTTAAATCCTACTTTCTGTATTTAATAAAATCACTTTTTACTTATTAATTAACTCAGAGTATGTGTTAATACCTGGGGGAGCAAACTGTGCATAGCTCTCTATCAGTGTTATAGAGGGCGAACAATTTATGAGTTTACACTGTATAAGCTTTATACAGGGTAAAACGGATTTATTTGGGTTTAGACCCCATTGAGAGTTGGGCATCTGAGTGCTAAAGACAAGCACACTTCTGTGAGCTATTTTCAGGTAAACCTGCAGCTTTGGGGCAAGTAATTCAGACCCTGGGTCTGTGTTGGAGCAGATGGGAGTGTCTGGCTCAGCAAGACAGGGTGCTGGAGTCCTGAGCTGGCAGGGAAAGCAGGGGTAGAAGTAGTCTTGGCACATCAGGTGGCAGCTCCCAAGAGGGTTTCTGTGATCCAACACGTCACAATCAGATCAGGGTTGATTGGTAACACGATTGGGGTGTCCACTGACAGCTCCAGAAGCGTGATGTACCAATGTTGACGGGGCCATGCTAGGGCCAGCAGAATTACCTGTGCTTTGTCTCTGAGGATCTTGAGCAGCACCTTGTGCAGGAGTGGGACAGGTGGGAAGGCATACATGAGTCGGTCTCCTAGCAGGAACGTGTTCTTGATTCCACCCGGGCTGTGTTTCTAGAAGGAGCAGAACACTGGGCACTTTCTGTTGCTCCGGGTGGCAGAGATCGACCTGGGGAAACCCCCACTTTTGGAAGATGGAATGAAGGCCATCCGGACGGATGGACCACTCGTGGTTGCAGAACGATCTGCTGAGGTGATCCGCTAGCTCGTTCTGCACTCCTGGGAGATAGGATGTCTCCATGTGAATGTAATGGGCTATGCAGATCTCCCACAGCTGAAGGGCTTCCGACATAGGGGGGAGAAATGGGCTCCACCCTGCTTGTTGATGTAAAACACGTCAGTGGTGTTGTCTGTCATCACTGCTATGCACTGGCCTTGCAGCCGAGACTGGAAAGTTTGGCATGCTAATCACACTGCTCTGAGCTCCCTGATATTGATATGGAGGGAAAGCTCATCCTGCGACCACAGGCCCTGTGTTCGGAGATCTTCCAGATGCGCCTCCCAACCCAGAGCTGACGCGTCCATTACTAGTGACAAGGAGGGCTGTGAGCTGTTGAAGGGGACACCTCGCATACCATCTGAGGGTTGAGCCACCAATATAGGGACTCCAGTATGTGTCCTGGCACTGTCACTACCGAGACCAGCCTGTCGCGTCCTGGGCGGTATACCAATGTGAGTCACGCTTGAAGGGGCCTGAGCCTTAGTCTGGCATGCTGGACCACGTAAGTGCAGGCTGCCATGTGGCCAAGGAGACTCAGGCATCCCCTTGCGGTGGTGGTCAGGTACCACCTGAGGCTTTGGATAATGTCTATCATGGCTTGGAATTGGATCTCTGGCAGGAACGCCCTTGCCTGTACCGAGTCCAGCACCGCTCCGATGAACTCTATTCTTTGGGTCAGTGATAAGGTTGACTTGTTCACGTTGAGGAGGAGTCCCAGTCTCTCGAAAGTGGATCTGACCATGCGGACCTGAGATTCCACTTGCTCCCTGGTATGCCCCCTGAGCAGCCAGTCATCTAGGTATAGGTATACCTGCATCTGCCTCCTCCGGAGGAAGGCTGCTACGACTGAGATGCACTTGGTGAACACTTGGGGGGGCTGTCAACAAACCGAAGGGGAGAACCGTGAACTGATAGTGTTTGTGGTCGACTACAAACTACAGAAATCGTCTGTGCACAGGCCAAATGGCTATGTGAAAGTACACGTCTTTCATGTCGGCAACAGCGTACCAGTCTTCCGGATCCAAGGACGGGATAATAGAGCTCAGGGAGACCATGCGGAACTTCAACTTTACCATGAACTGGTTGAGCACTTGCAGGTCTAAAATGGGTCTGAGACCCCCCTTGGCGTTGGGGATTAGGAAATAGGGGGAGTAGAATCCCTTGCTCTTTAGATCCCGAGGAACCTCCTCCACTGCCCCTATGGCAAGGAGCGACTGCACCTCCTGGATAAGAAGTTGCTCGCTCCTGGGAAGGGGGCTGGGAGGGAGGGAAGGAGCAGAATGGGAGTGAATATTGCACTTCTACTGTGCAAAGAACCCAGGGGTCCGATGTTATTTGGGACCAAGCACAGTAGAAGTGGGACAGATGGGCCAGAAAACGGGTAAGGATCTGGTGGAGAGACAAGTGCGCCATCCTCAGTTGCATCTTCAAAAGGCCTGTTTAGAGCCTGATTAAGGTTTGGACTGGCCTTGGCCCTGCCCTGAAGGGGGGTTGGAAGGCTTGTGCCTGCCATTCCTGCCCCTTTGTCTACAGAAATCCTGCCTCGGCCATGGAGAATATGGGCGCTGTTGTTGTGGTTGGGGCTTGCAGTGCTTGTCTTGGGTGGCCAGCATGTGTATTCCCAACGACTTCGTGGTCGCCCTGGAGTCTTTCAAGCTGTGCAGCACGGAGTCTGTCTGCTTGGAGAACAGCCCCACGCCCTCAAAGGGAAGGTCCTGCAGGGTTTGCTGCACTTCCGGGGGGTAGCTCGTATGCCTGAAGCCACGAGGCCCTCCTCATGGCTATGCCTGAGGAGAGGGTACGGGCAGCCGAGTCCGCAGAGTCTAGGGACGCCTGCAGTGAAGTCTGCGCCACCACCTTCCCTTCCTTGAAAATGGTGGAGAATTTGGCCCTAGAGTCCGCAGGGATCAGCTCTTTAAACTTCAACATTGAGGCCCATGAGTTGAAGTTATATTTGCTGAGGCTAGCTTGCTAGTTAGCTATCCTCAGCTGAAGGCTCCCAGTGGCATAGATCTTCCTATCAAAAAGGTCCATCTTTTTGCCTCCTTCGATTTGGAGGCCAGCCCTTGCTGTCCCTGCTGCTCTTTCTTGTTAACCGCCGACACAACCAGAGAGCATGGCTGCGGGTGTGAGAGCAGATGGGGGAGCGGGGGGAAGAGCTCAGTGGTTTGAGCTTTGGCCTGCTAAACCCAGGGCTGCAAGCTCAATCCTTGAGGGGGCCATTTAGGGATCTGGGGCAAAAATCTGTCTGGGGGATTGGTCCTGCTTTGAGCAGGGGGTTAGACTAGATGACCTCCTGAGGTCCCTTCCAACCCTGATTTTCTATGATTCTATGATATTCATAGCCCTCAGAAGAGACAAAGTATTTGCGTTCCACACCTGTGGCGGTCGGCGGAATTGAGGCCAGAGTTTGCCACAGAGTCTTGATGTTGCTCTGAATTGTTTGACTAATGGCAGAGCTACCCCGCGATAGATCTTCAGGAGTAAGAATGTCTATCAAGGGGTCCTTGGCATCGACCACTTCCTGTGCTTGCAACCCCATGTTGCGGGCAATCCACCTCAGAAGGTCCTGATGTGCCCTGTGGTTAAGGGCCCGAAGTGGAAGCCCTTGCCACAGCCTCATCAGGGAATGAAGACGAAGTGACCAGAGGAGAGGAACCGGGTCCTCCTGTCTCTCTGGCTCCCTGACCTCCTCTTGGTCAGCGCCTGCCCCTGTGGCAGTTACAGTCAGAGTGCCTGTAGCCTGACCCTGCAGCTGGTCCTGTGCTGGAGACACCTCGGCAGCGGCCTGAGTCTGAGGGGGCAGATAGGTCAGGGTGGCCTCAGAATCTGAGGTGTAGGTCAGGGTGGCCTCAGATCTCCTGGCAGAGTGAGGTGGTCGGTGTTCTGAGGTGAACCCCAGGAAAGGGAGCCCTGGGCCTGATGGGAAGCCCAGGGAGTCCAAAAGGGCCATTGAGCTGGGGGCTGCCACTGTGGCTGCCAGGTCGTCTGCGTCTCCCTTCGCCACCTCTTGGACCTATGCTGGGAATAATATGAGTCACTGTCAGAGTCCAAGGAAGTGGATCCTGATTGTGATGACCAAGGTGGCGCTGAAGGGCCATGCGCAGGAGACCGGTGTTGAGCGGATGAGACGGAAGATCGGTGCTGGAATGACCTTGCCAGAGACCGATGCCAGGAATTCGGCATCGGAGACCGGTGCCAAGTATCCAGCGCCAGTGATCGAGGATGAGGGCCCGGTGCTGTGGGTGGGTGCTGGTCTCCTCTCAGAGCCGGGGATTGGTGCGGGTCCGCTCTCGGTGCTGGATAGGGGGAGCGTCGTGCCGATGCCAGAGATACTCTTATGGAGCTTGGTGCCAGGGAGTGGTACCGCAGTGATAGTGACTGGGAGCGCTGCCACGGATGGTGCCGAGCCAGGGACTGTGATCGCCGCATCATAGCTGGCTTGCCTCTAGACAGTACTGGACATATCGGAACTGCAGGCTTGTCCCTCAGAACCGGGGGCTGTGAAGCCATCATTTTGATTAAGTGTCTGGCGACTTCAAAAGTGTCCAGGGTGGCGGGTGGCTCTAATTCCTCCACCTGACACTGCCCTTGCAGAGAGTTGCTGCGTGCCGGACCCAACGGTCCCCTCTGCAGCACCGAAGTCAACGGCACCAACTCATTTATTTTGGCACCAAGTCCATTCTGGGGTGCGCCTGTGCATCCCCTGACAGTCCCGCGGCTTTCGGAGACGGTGAGCACCCCCTTTCAGTCTTCCTATATCGCTTGTGGGACACCGGCGAAGTCGAGCGGTGCCAGGCCGCTGCTCCTGGCTGTGGTGCCGGGGAGCGTGGGTGCCAAGGGTCTCCTGTACTAGAATCCTTCCTCAGCACCATGTCACATACCGATGCTGGAGCACTCCGTACGGACACGGTTGGTGCCGGGTCCTGGTGGTCTGCAGCAGGCTGGGGATGCAGAGCGGATTCCATGAGAAGTTGCTTGAGGCGGAAATCTCACTCCTTTTTAGTTCTCGGACGAAAAGCCCTGCAAATTTTGCACCTCTCAGTCCGGTGCGCTTCCCCCAGACACTTTAAGCAAGAGTCGTGGGGGTCACTAATGGGCATAGGCTTGTTGCAAGCAACACAGGGCTTAAAGCCCTGGGCTCGCAGCATGCCCCAGAGCCCGAGGAGGGGTTAGGGATTGGGGAGAGATCCTGCTCCCAAACCTACTATCTAAACTATTTACTATGTAAACTAAAATGGGTAACTAGAACAATTAACTAGGGAGAAACGCTAAGGAAAGTCCTTGCTGAGCAAGCAAACGCTGTTCAACGGCCGTCACGGACGGTAAGAAGGAACTGAAAAGGGGGTTGGGTCAGCAGGGTCATATATTGAGCGCCATGAAGGTGCCACTCCAGGGGGCTCCACAGCTGACCCGACGAGAGCTGCTAAGGGAAAACTTTCCGACAACCGTGCATGCAGCACGCGCACACCTAATTGGAAACGGTATGAGCAATCACTCGAAGAAGAAGTTTAGTTTCAGTTTTCCTTGTGGTAATGTGTAACTGTTAGGCCTATTTGCACTTGTTGGCATTCTGGTGTCTCAGGGTCCACCCCACCCCATGGGGTCAGATGTTACGTAGAGTGACTCCTTCCTCAGATTAGAAACAAGCCAATCTTTAGGAAGTGATGAAGGCACGACTATGGGAGGGCCCAATCTTTCAGCACAAAAGGTTGGGTGCTTTCACCTGGATATTTGTCAGCAACTGGCTAGCTGGTCTTTTGGGTGTGCCAGGGCAGGACCGTGGGGCTAGGGGAGCAGAAGGACACCCCTTCTTCCCTACTCTCATTTGCCGTTGGGCAATAGTTCTGCTTATTAAAACTGTGACCAACTGCACCACTTTTCTTAACTTGGCCTCTGGGTCTTTCCAGTGTGATGGCAGAAAAACAACATCATGCGGCTCCCCATTTATTGCCCCTCAATGAGCTGAAATACTTCTTTTCAGTTCATAAAAGATGATTTTTCAAATTGCCAGGACTGAAAACTCAATGTGGAGTTTGAAAATCAAGCTATATTCTCTCCACCTCTTCTACCCTGACCAGGAATAGGGGTGCCACAACTAGAACTTTAAAAAAAGTTACTATTTTTATAGGACCTACAAAATCAAAATATTTTAGCATGACATCACTGAAGAGACTTTAGCATGACACCTGTAAAGTACCAGTTGGTGATGGACAAGACAAAGTGATTCCTCTCTGCAAAGTTTATAAATAGATTTGGTCAACATTTTTTGAATTTTCAAAGTTTAGATGAAGTTTTATCACAAAAGATGCTTGCTGTTTTTCAACCAGCTCGATTTATAAAGCAATAGAGAATAGTGTAGTAGTCCTTCATAATGGAAGGACGTATATACTGTATATTCAAGATAGCAGTATTACTATTGTAAAGTACTATATAAATTGAAGTTACAGTTGAACAAAAATGGCAATATTTAAATCTGGCACCATTCCAAATACAGGAAACGAAAGCAATGCTTGCCAAATAGAAGAAAACAAAAAATCAATAGTGAAACGGATAGTTTGCATGAATGTAAGAGATGCCCCATGGAGGGCAAAAATAGAAAAAAAGAGAAGATAAAGATTAAATGATGACAATATTCTTTTCATCTTTGGATGCAATTACATGTTCAAATCATTGTTTCGTCTTGGTTGGTGAGTAAACATGAAACATGACCATGCTATGTACTTCAATATGTGTTACAATGTTTACCTCAGACAGGCCTTCACATTGAACGTGAGCCTGGATCCATTCCAGCCTGTCTGAATTTTCCTTCTCACGCACCCCTTCATTTACTTGGGAACACAATTCTTCCGCTTTCTCAAGAGCATGCTTCAAGTGACTGTGATCAGGGTGATTTTCAGGAGTGTTTTCTATTATCTACAGGTAAGTAAAACAGCTTAGTTTCTTTTGTTACTGTTGGCTGTAAATCCACCCATCTTGTCAGCTCTGCATTTTATTTATTTATTTATTTTTTTAAGAACTGGTCAAAATTTTCCAAATGTTAATGTTTTGGTTATTTTTTTCTCAAAAGTTCAAATTTCAGTGAAAAAACTGTTATTTGTTTTGTTTTTGCAAAGAAATCATCCCATTTTGGCCAGTTCTATTGCTGACAAGTCTTTTAGCAAAATTTTTCATGAAGGCTGCTGGCTGGGTGCCCAACTCTGAGGGCAGCATGGCTGTCAACAGTAGCACAGAAGTGAGGGTGGCATGGTATGGAGGGGTCCTCACTTTTGGGGGGGCCATAGCGGCCTTACAAGTGGGCGACATGGGCGACCGCCCAGGGCACCATGGATGGGTGGGTGATTTTCCGGGTTCATCCCCACCCCCACCCCCAGCCATCCCAAAGCCACTTTAAGTCCAAGCACCAGGGGCCCAGAATGGAGGAGGGGCAGGGCGTTGGGCACCCTGGCTGAGGGTTCCTACCATACTCTGGGCTCCAACTGCTGGTCCTGGCTGGGCTGGTGAGGGACGGGACGTCCTCTTACCCTGCCAGGGCCTCTTCTGGGGTCAGGTCAGACCCACCTCCAGGAACCTCCCCTGGCTGCAGGAAGCTCTGCGGCTGCTGGCTGGGAGCCCAGCTCTGAAGGCAGCACCGTCACCAGCAGCAGTGCAGAAGTAAGGGTGGCAAGATATGGTATTGTCACCCTTACTTCTGCGCTGTTGCTGGCTGCGGCGCTTTCTTCAGAGCTTGGCGTCCATCCAGCATCCACCACTTTCCAGCTGCCCAGCTCTGAAGGCAGCATAGAAGTAAAGGTGGCAATACCATGAACCCCCTACAATAGCCTAGCAACCCCCCAGAACCCTCTTTTGGGTTAAGATCCCCAGTTTGAGAAATGCTGGTTTTCCCCGTGAAATCTGTATAGCATAGAGTAAAAATACACAAAAGACCAGATGTCTTGGGGGAGACCCCAGATTTCATGGTCTGTGACACATTTTTCATGACCCTGAATTTGGTAGGGCCCTAGAGCTGTATGTTCTGTTGTGAAGGAGTGGATGAGGCCCAGAAGCCCCCTGTTGGAGGCCTCAGGGTCCTGCCCACACCCCATCTCAGAGAGGAGCAGATGAGAAATCTGAGCATGGTTGTGGGGAAGCAGCCAATGAGAGAGGCTGCATGGAGCAGCCTATCAGGGCCTAGCAGGGCCATATAAAAGGAACTGCAAAACAGAGCAGCAGTCAGTTGCTGCCTGGAGCTGGAGGAGAAAAGACCGTGTTCCTGGCTGGCTAAAAGAGCAGCAGGACAGCTCAGTGTGGGCAGGGACCAGAGGAGCTAAGAAGGAGCTCCTGGCTGGCTGCTGGGACTGAGTAAGGACTGAGCCCAGGGAGCACCACAGGAAGGTAGTGTCTCTAGGGAGGAAGCCCTGGGGGTACGGCCCAATCCAGGGCTGGGACTATTTAAAGACTGAGCCTGGGGAGGGCTAGAGAGACACCAATCGAGGGGTCCTGAGATAGGCCCCTGGTGCAGTGTATACCCCAGAAGGGGGCTGTTCTAATTCACATACAGACAGTGAGAGAGACTCGGCGGGAGGGCTGAATCACTGAAAAGCCACCTGAGAACCCACCGACAGGGGTCACCAGAACTGAAAGACTGCAGACACACCTGACCAGAAGGGGGCGCTCACGAGAGGTGGGCGCCACCCCATTACATCTGGTCATATACAGAGGAGGATTCAGGGCTGATGAAAGAATCTGACTTTTCAGACCAAATTCAGGCCTGGTATAATGTCTCTCTCCTAGATAAGTCTTGGGCCAAATTCAGTAGTAATGGTAATGGTGATGTGAGTTAGACATCAGATGAAAGTTGGACAGAAAATGGATGTAAGTTGTAAAGTAATGTAACTTGCACAAATCTGGCTTCAATGGCTGTGCAAAATGAATAACTGACAAGCCCGGGGGAGAGGGAGGAGGAGGCATGTACAGCAGGAAAAGCAGCTAGCAGGAAAGTGTAAGACAACTCAATCCCTCCCCACTCCTTTACTGTATACCCACCACCCAGCTTTTGCTGCTAAACCCTCCCATTCCCTGGCATATAAATTACGCTCCTCCATCCATTATGCCAGTGTAAATACAGAATAACTCCACTGCAGTCAGTCGAGTTACTCATGATTTAGCCCAGTGTAATTGAAATACAAATTTGGCCCATATTCCCCATCATACCAGACGTGTCTAGCCTCTTGAGAATAGCAAGAATGGACATACATAGGGAAACTTAACTACAAATAAGCTACAAGCCAAGGGGCACTCTAAATACATTCCAGTATGTTTACAAAAAAAACGTACATTTTTAATTATTAGCGGGTATCTTGTTACCCTTTGCATAGGCTTTAGCAGAAAACTTGACAGCGGCATTCCTTTACAGCGAGGATCCATTGCTAACCTCTGAAATATGAAAGGTAAGATGTTGTTAACCAGCTTGTTTATGACAGTGGAAGACAAATTCCTGAAAAAAGGTAAAAGATAAAATGGTAAGTCAATAAATGCGTCACATAAACCTGTTCTCAGTCAGAACAAGAAGTATGACAAACAAATTCAGAGCAATAGAATTTCTCATATTTTTACAAAATAGGGTAGAGTATGTCAGAGATGAGAGCAGCTTTATGATCCCTAGAGATACCTATATTCTCGGACTGTATAAACATTCTGATTGAAGTAAGCTTCCTTACTATGGGACAGGGCTTATGAATGAGGACATTATTTATTAATGGGTTTGAATGGAAGTCATTACAACAACATTATCTCCCATGTCGTCATGTTGACTATAAAAAGACATTTCCACTATTTCTTTCTTCAAAAGAAAAAAGTGACATATACACTGGAAATTATGTAGATTGCCTCCAAATGTAACCTGAGAAGTTTGACAGCTCAGTGAATAAAGCAGATTTAACAACATTTTTCACAGATATTATATATTGAAAAGATTTACTAGATAATACAGTTCATGCCCCCTGCCAAAGCACCCTTGTCCCCTACAGAACATTTTCTAGTGCTTTGCCAATTCCCTTTTTAAAATACTCAAGCAATGGGGCTTTCACCTTTCCCCTCAGCAGACGACTGCACAGCCAAATACATTGCACTGTCAGGACATTTCCCCTGGTATTTAATCTATATTTCCTCTTTTTTTTAATGTAACTCCATTACTCTTAGTCAGATCCCCAGGTATCACACTGAATAATAATTCATCATGCAGTACTTGGAGTTTCACTCTCCAAATATTTATAGATAGTCTGTGGCCTGGTCTACACTAAAAAGTTAGGTCAACCCAGCTACATCGCTCAGGGATGTGAAAAATCCCCCCCCCTTCCCCTCCCCACCTCCCCCCAAGTGACATAGTTAAGCCAACCTAAGTCCTTGTGTAGAAAACGCTAGCTACCGCCTCTTGGGGAGGTGGATTACCTGCAGCACTCAGGCTGTGCCACTGTAGCGTTTCAAGTGTAGACAAGCCCTTATTACATTCTTCTTTCCGCTGTCTCTTAGCCATCTATTCATATGCATTTCCTGACAGTGAATTCCTTAAGCTGTAGAATACTCTTCCAAGGAAGTGGTGGAAGTCCCATCTCTCTTGACATTTAAAAATAAACTGGACTAATCACTAGAAAAGTTCAAGTGGGAACAATCCTACCTTATCAGGGAGATGGGCTGGATGTCCCACTGTAATAAGCCTTTTCTACCTCAGAGGCAGCATAGTCTGATGGACAGGACACTAGACGGAACCAAGAGGCCAGAGTTCTGCCTGTGAGCTACTGTAATAGTTGAGCAAAACACTATTTTTCTTTGCCTTTTCTTCTCCTCCCACCCTTTGTCCATCTTGCCCATTCATGGCAGTGACAGTTTCTTACTATGTATTTCTACAGCACCTAGCACATTGGGGCCTTGATTTTAGCAGGGCCTCTTGGTGCTACTGTAATACTACTGCCACTTTAATAGTTAATAATAATAAAAACTTCATCTTCTATGATGTTCTGACCAAATCTTGTTCCTCAGTGAACATTCGGGCCTAAAGATTCTTCACTTGTCCACAGCATAGCACTGTTTTGTAATCAGCAAAACGATTAGATGCAGTTCAGAGGTAAGAAATTCACAATGGTTATTTTGTCTCTTACTTTAACAAACTCCTTGAACTCTGGGACTTCATCTGTTTTCTGCTGGATTAATGCTGCCCCATTGAGCTGGCAGCTACAGAACCGGATGTAAGGTTGCATGTGTGGTAGCTGTGCGGTCAGTATGTCGCCAATCATTTTCACTGGCATCCTCTCCCCAGACATCTTTTTACGAACACGCAGTGCTCTAGACACAAAGCAAAAGATGCTAGGCATGTTTTGTGTGTAACTGGACCATTAATGGATCGTCACTGACCCCTGAAATAAACTAGCTGATAGTTCATTTCTGAAATGAAGAGGGTTACAGAACAGCAGAAGACCAGCACAGGATTTATTCCATATTGTAAAAATATACTATCATAGAGGACTCTCAACCACTAGTCTGGTTTCCTTCTTGTGGTCACCAAACTGCTGTTCAAAATTAACTTGAGGCAAATCCAGTTGAGAATTAAAATAAAAAAAAAAAAAAAAGCAATGCAATTTCCTTGTTTTGCTAACCTAGAACAAGACCACAACCTCTAAAACATACAGTTCTGTTCAAAGCATTTTCTTCCCTTCATCACATCAGCCAAAATGCTGAAAAGTGGTACAGTTTAATGCCTGAAAGAAATCACACACAAAGCCAGATCCTCCACTGGTGTGAACTGACATACAGCCACTGGTGTGAACTGACATACAGCCACTGACGTCAAAGGAGCTAAGCTGATTTACACCAGCTAAGAATTTGGCCCCAAATGGCTTAACTATTAAATAAAGACCACTATTTTAAATGACTTGGACAACAATATTTTAGCATCTTAGAGGTGTATCAAAAAGGAAACATATTCAGAAGGAGAAAGTCCGGCATAATATCAGTGAATCTAAAGTTTGTATCAACCATATAGAAGGTGGGATAGTTGAATTTGGGATATATGTCTTTGCATCCAAAGGCCTCTTCTGAGACTAAGTACTTCAAGAGTTTATATACTGTCATTTTAATATTTATCTGGACTAAACTTTAGTCCACGTACAGTATATGGAGTATGTATACAAGAAGCAATGCAAGTTGCTTCAGACAACATAGAAATAGTGCACATTAACTGGATTTAGATTGATTTCCAGGTTTGTCACTTAGGAGGAGAGTAATGTAAATATACTAGCATTATATTATACTGCATGCAAAACAAACTCATCATCCTGAAGTGAATAGTCGCCAAGAGTTCCTGAAGGAAAACCCTTCACTGAGAAGTCCTGCGGGAGTGACTTTGATGACAGCATGTTGTTTTGAGTCTTGCAGAATTGGACCATAACCACCCACTACCATCAGCAAACTCTGAGCAGTGGACCAAGTGAGAAATAAGAAGGATGTTAGATTTAAATGAAACTGCCATTTTGTATTGCCAATATTTACATGAGTATTTATGAATCTCAACAAGGGTGAAATGTGGCCAGGTGTACCAGCAAACGCAGATTTTCTTGATGAAAATAGTTGATGTCCCGATTCTGCAAAGCAGTTAAGCATGTGCTTAAGTCCATCCTTATTTAGCACATCACTTAAGCATGTGCTTAAAGTAAAGTATAAGCTTAGGTATTTGCTGAATTGGAGCCTGAAGCTGAAAATCTCCCTTTTGTGGGCTAAAATTAATTCTTTTTCACAAATTTGCTCCAGGGAAATGTTTCCTCTTTTGCACAGAACTTTTATCATTTTCACAGCAAAACAGATTTATTTATTTAGGCAGTAAAATGACACTTTTCAACCTATGAATATGCACAAACTACTTGATTTTCTCAAAAAGGAATTCGAAGCCATAATATTATATTATATTCTTTGCAATCTGCTGCTGTTTTCACTGGTAGCAAATACTATTTTCACACAGTTAAATAATTAGGAGGGGACAGGAAAGGTCAATTATTTTATTGTTGATAAATACAGACAAGCAACTTACTTCAGTAGTTTGATATTGCACATAATCAACTCCTTCCAATTAACAAAAATCATAGCGACCTCTTTTTCTGTTAGCAGCTCAGACTCCATCAGTGGTTTCTGGAAGATCTACAGATGCAGAAAATGAAGCAATTTAGAAAGTGTACTGTTAAATCAATTCAAAGTGACAAAGCTTCCTGTTCATAATCTCCATGTAGAGGTCTGCGTACTTAATAATAATAATATAACATTTAATTTTCATTAGAACAGATTTCAAACATACTGTCGGCCTTAGAGCTCCATAATGTTTCCAGATAAGATGTTCGAGAACAGTGTATCACTTCACAAGGCATAATCTAAACTTGCATCAGTGATGTTAATTACAAGATGGCTTATTTCTGTTTTAACCTTGGGCATTTCCTTATACTAGTGGTCCCTTGCAAAATATCTCAGTAATAAATTACATAGAAGTCTACTTTGGCCTCAACTCTACAGACGCCTGATTTATTACTGATTAGAGCTGGAAAAAATTTTTTTCCTGGCAAATAGAAAATTCACCAAAAAAATCATTTTGGGGAGTATCAAAACTATTCATGAATTTGTACTGAATTCAGCAAATAGTTTCAGCCAAAAGAAAAAAAAAAAACTAAAAAAAACCCATAAATATAAAAATATTTAATTTCATTTCAAAATGAAATGTCTATTTGAATCAACCTGAATGAAATTATTTCAGTTTTTCATTTTGGCAAGAAAAATTAACTGATTTTTTTTCCAGTTTTTTTGCTGCAGTCACAGAACTGAATAAATAATTATTCACTGATTTATTTTATTTATCTAACCACATATCAGGTTTGCATATCTTGACCATTTTGGCAAAGAAGGGCTCTCCCTCAGTTAAGAGGCTCACCTTAGATGTCTATCTGGCTTCCATTTTCCCGGCATGAAAGATGCACATAATAACTATTAAGCAACTGAATTTAGGCACAGAAAAGCAGATAACTAAGTGCCACTGTGGCTGTAGAATCTCTGCGCAATGAGTTAAACCTCTAAGTCTTAAGAGAATATACATGAGAAATAAACTTTTAGACTCAGGAGTGAAAAGACTGTACTAAAACAGAAGGTTTAAATGATGATGTCTCAATGCTGATAATAAGAGACTCACATGCTCATGAATACTAAAAGCTCAAGTCAAGTCAGACAAGGCAGGAATTTTCAAACAAAAAACGACAACTTTGTATGATTAAGTTACTAGTCACTATTTTTTAAAAACGGAGGGACTACAGTTAGGCTCCCAAATCCATGTTTAGGCATCTAAATAAGTGACCCACTCTTCAAATGTGCTGAGCAACCAACAGTTCCCACTCAGGCGAGTATGAGGTGCTCTGTGGTCAGCACTTTTGAAAATCAAGCCACTGTTTCTGTGACTAAATGTGGATTTAGGAGCTTACTTTTCAGCTCTCCCTTTTGCAAACCTTGGCCATTCTTCTTACCTCTGTGACTAACTGCAGGTCATTTACATAGTTCTCTTCTGTTACGATCAGTTCGTGGATGTATCCCTGCCTTTTCCTTTCAGTAGGCGTCAACATGTCCAGGAGGTGTAAGTCAGCACACCCTGGAAAACACAAAGGAGACAGAGAATTTAGTGAGGGCTATTTGGAAATGGATTAAAACGGTGATATTTCAGCTAATGCTTCACTAACAATAACAGCCACCTGTTCATTTAATTTATCATTCTCTCAACACGTAACAGCACAAAATTGAAAATGTTTCATCTTTATTTACTTGAAAAATCAAAAGGCTTGAGTTGCCTCTAAAGCAAGGCTCAATAAAAAAAATCACAGTCCTACTATTTATTTGTTCATCAACTCCACTGTCTTGAACCTAACAATTAATAAAACAAATGAATGAAAGCCTGGCTAAAACAAAAGCCTGCAGTCTGAGGATGACTGAACTAAAGCTTTGGTGAGCATTAAGAGGGAGCAGATTTAAAGGACAGGGAGGCTAGAGCATCCAGGTGGATCTTAACTGCTGTGATAGGGAATACAATAAATACAACAGCGGTGAGAAGTATTCTCTCAAATAGCCATACACTGCAAGAGTCAACCCTCAGAGGTTGGTACCGTTGAGAAGAGGCTCCATTTTAGGCTATGTCTACACTAGAGAGCTTACAGTGGCACAGCTGTACCCCTGCAGCTGCCCTGCTGTAAGGTCTTCCATTCAGCCACGCTATGCCAGTGGGAGAGAGCTTTCCCATCGGCATAATTAAACCACCCCCAATAAGCAAAGGTAGCTATGTCAGCAAGAGTGCGTCTCCCACCAACATAGCATTGTCCACACCGGCACTTCTCTCAGTATTAAGATCTCAGATTTCAAAATTGACCTGTTCCCATGGAAAGTTTCGATTTTGACAAAATGGCCTTTTTTGACAGAAGAACTTGCTATTCCAAAATTTTTCATGGAGTTTAGAATGATCAACGCTTTTTATTTATTTGTTCACCAGCATCATCAATGATACCAACATACTTAGACCAGACTTTGAGGAGAGTATTGTTTTAGGTAAGGTGTTCTCATATTTTTCATAGTGTGAACCACCTCTCCTCCTATTCTCAATCACATCACTTCCTTGTAGCAACTATAGAAATTGCTTCCATGTAAACTTAATACTAGGAGAGTATTTACTATATTTTTAGCTTTTTAAATGCAATTTAGTAGCTGGAAACAAGGAAAATTCAGCCCGTCACCAGCCAGGTTTCTATGGATCACTATTAAGTAGTCCATGAACCAGTTTGGGAACCTCTGCTTTAGCCAACTCATGCTCCCTCTGTTGGCTGATTAGCAGCAGAGCACACTCATGGGTTCTACAAAAAGAGTTTTTAAAATATTTACTGGAGTGGTAGATTTGACAAAGAAAAATTAGATATGAACAGTCAAGGGGGCATCCTGTAGGACTGTAGTAACTTTAAGGTAGATCATTTTGGGGGCCTAAACACATTGAAAATGGTCCTTTAAGATATTGCATAGTGTAGTTCTTTAAATGAGATTCTTTAAACTTTAAACCTGATAAGATGAGAAGGTAACATTGAGAATAATCAATGAACTCACGCACTGGCCTAGTGAAAAATATTAGAAACTCTTGGAGTTGTTCAAAAACCAAAAGCTTCAATCCTGCTTTATAAATGGCTGCTTTCAGAGCAATTTTCCTGTACATACAGTACAACACAGGTCTAGTAACCAGTTTAGTTTTCTTACTGAGTTGCCAGGCTCAGCAAATACAAACACCGTACCTAAGTGTTTTGTTTTGTTTTTTTAAGACTGGAGAGATTTTCTCTTCAAATATGCTGATAACCTTGGTTTGAAGTGTTATTCCAACCACTAAAGTTTTATATGAAACATTTAAAATCTCAAAAAGGAACATTTTTTCAAATAGCTTGACAGATTGCCAATGGGAACTTCAAATAGGTCACTTCGAACTTCAACAATTAGTCTCCTTTTGAACATTTAATATCTGGGGGGAAAAACCTGATTTCAATCAGAGCAGAATAAGTGGAAAAGACTTTTCCAATAGAGAGAGATTTTTTTAGGTGCAAAAAGATTAGGAACTTTCTCCTCTTGACATAAAAAACAATGTTTGGGTTCCTTTTCAAACTAAAATGTGAGATGAAAGGGCTATAACTAGTGGGTTTTTTTTTAATAAAAGTCTAAATTCCACTTGCAGCTGTAATAATATTATGAATTCAACCAACTAAAAGAGATCCTTCCTTGGGAGGCCATAAACTGCCTTGGATAAGCAGGTGCTGCCGCCACTGACAAATGGAAAGCATCTATCTCAAAAACCCTAATTCAGCAAGGAACTTAAGCAGGTTCCTAACTTTAAGCATGAGTAGTCACCAGTGCAGCTACTCATGTGCTTAAGTCAGTCCGGTATCTAAACACCTTGTTGAAATGAGACTAACGTGTGTTGCTGAGCTCCTTCTCTGCACTTCTTGAAATTTTCCTGATTTTTTTAAAAAAGGAGACTTTATCATATTGAAGAGAGACTGTGGAACAGTCCTTTTAAATAAACTTGAAGTTCATTCGAACAACTTGAAGGTATAAGACAATAATTGCATCAGGAGTTAACTAAACAGACTGAAGGCATAGATCTCCCCAGGAAAGAGAGATGGTTATCATCAAGTTAACAAGAAACACCCTTGGGCTATTACTCTTTTATTCTGAAACTTGAAATCAAATATTCACAATGTAAATTAAAGAGAGTCCTCCCTCACCCCCCAATGGCTGCCACTGCGGTATGTTATTGCTATTATTTGTATTACAGGAACTTCCAGAGGCACCAATCACGATCATTGTGCTGGGTGCTCACAAAAATAAGGGAACAGTCCCTGCCCTGATGAACTTACAGGTCCTGGACAAAAGCCCATCAATTACAATGGGCTCTAGGATCAGGCCCTAAATACGGACAGAACAGTAAATTGTTAAAAATAATAGTTAGAAACATTTTATCCCTTTCTTTCTATTCATTCTCACCATCGCTACCCCTTCCCTTCCATACAGAACCTTAGCAAGGCTCTTCTCAAACGACAGTATATCTTATTTCAGATCAGAATTTGGAGGAAGAGGCTAGGATCCTCCGAATGTAAAGTAATTATGAATCACGTTGGCTTATGGAGAAGGAAGGGTTTTAGGGGAACAGAGACAAAGAGAAAAGGTCTGATCCTGGTGCCACTGAAGTCTATGGCAAGTGGGGTTCATTAGGGTTTTTCTTTTAAGCAACTAGTGGAGCAAAGGGTTTACAATTGCCAATTAAAAGAGAGGTATTTGCATATTCACAATATTTAATAAGAAACAATCATACAATTATGCAAATCCCTGCACTCTGGTTGGTTAATGAGTATCAGCCAATGCACAGATATTCAGACACACTGTATAGCTGAGAAAGAAACAGAGGATGAGGCAAACTGGACGCCTGGAATGAGAGTGTGCAACTATTCCTCTGGAAAGCCTCTCTTTGGTCTCCTGTGACAGCAGGGCCCTCTGACTTGGGGGATTCTAGAATTGTAAAGATTTATTTTACAAAATGAAAGTTCCTGCCCCCTTTCTGTGCAAAGGCAGCCTTGAAAACAAAAATGGATATAAACCAATCACTAGAGATGAATGGAACAAGCAGCGGGGCTCTACTTCTGCAACAGGAATCTGGTGGAGACATAACTATTCCACACATGCACACACCCTTTTAATGCAAAGTGAGTCAGTTATGTTTGGGATGTATCCCCAATAACGACATGGCCAGGTCGAACCACAATCTTTACGTCAGCACAGTATAGTGGTGAAATCACAACGGACTCCTGTCCACTATGTCTCAAAGAGGTGGATGCAGTACAAAATTATTTCACAGGCTTGCCCAAAAATGCTAAGGCTTTGCATAATTGGGGGAAAATAATTATATCTCAATACTTATACAGCATCTGTGCACTCTGATTGGCTAAGACAACCCCATTTTGCCTTTCTTTCTTTCTTCTGAGCTTACTGGCTAACTTCAGATGTAAGAATGGCCCTACTGGGTCAAACCAAAGGTCCATCTAGTCCAGTATCCTCTCTTCCAACAGTGGCCAGTGCCAGGTGCCCCAGAGAGCATGAACAGAACAGGTAATCATCAACTGATCCATCCCGTCATCCATTCCCAGCTTCTGGCAAACAGAGGCTAGGGACACCATCCCTGCTGTACCATCAACTTAGTACAAACAGCTGGTACTGTGCATCCTCCACTAGAAGGCAATATCAAAAGGGGTTGTAGACTCCAGTGATCAAATAGGTCTTCTCCAGCTCCAATTTCTATGACCCTATGTTGTCCGTTAAAGAATGTTTTTATAGGCCTGTAAAAAAAAAAAAAAAGACCCATTGCCTAACTACAGTCAACGTATTGTAGAAATAAAATTTAGAACTCCATTTAAAACAAATATTCTTTAACCCTTCTGCACAGAGAATCCTAAGGAAGACTGTAAAATGATGGTGGTAATGATAGTAGTGGTAGAGTAAATTGGCTGACAGCATTTTAACCACCATGTCATCAGACCAGCTTATCTGAACTCTGGTAGAGAGATGGCACTAGCCCTCCCACAAGTGCGACAAAAGGAAATCTGAAGAACATCTTTGTTCTCACATCTTTTTATCTGATATTCACCAGGACTACAGAAGCATGATTAGGACAATTCCAATGGATTTAAGGAGGGAGGCCACCTACTGACAGACAGAAGGGGTGCAAAATTCCATGATGCTTTTGTCTACCCCTCATTTTTTCCTTGCCATTCTGCTTCATTAAACAAGGCCTAAATCTTCCTTTATGGACATTTTTAACAATTTTGGAAGGTTTAATCAAGCAGCCACAGCTGAATGAACAATGGTACTCTCCTCTAGAGGCAAACAGGCCAAATAGCTGTGTTCCAGTGAAGAATATTGCTCAGTATCATTATAAATGAAAGGTATATCAAGTAAAGTACTGAAAGCGTACAAGACACGGTCCATGCCTTGAGGAGCTTGCATAGGGTATATGCTTTCTTAACTGGCCACACATATCCATCTACTGGTAGAACATGGACCGCTCTCAAAAATAGTTGA